AGCTTCCACCTCAAGACAGAATCTCACCAGACTGAACCCTAGTTCCCAAGCCAGCCAGCCAGCCACAACACCGTGAATTCCTGAGGGAAGTGCCAGCCGCATCTTCTTGAACTTCCCATGCTCCTGTTGGGGGCTAAGAACACGCTTATCTCCCTGAGCATGGCCTTCATAAGTCCATTCCATCACACTGGGCCACCAAAAGCTACCAAAACAACCAGAACTCTACAGTGATGGTAGCAGCTCTTTCCAAGCCCTCTCTGAAGATGAAGACTTTCTGCTGAACTGTTCTGTGGTCTGTTTGTGCAGTTCGTTTGACAAGTCGTGATGAAGCAAGCGGTGCTTTGCACCACCTGTGGGTTTAGAGAAAGGGTAGTTCTTTCCCCTTCTGCTGAGTGTTGTTAACACCATTTGCTGTGCCCAACATGATGAAAAACATGTATTTTCTCTGCTGACTGCATTTGAACTCAGTGGTTTGACATTTAACCAGCCCTTTGGGACCTGATCCATACCTTTTCTTTGTCAATAAGATCTGCAATCTTCCAGACGTAGACTTCTGCAGCGGGTAACATATATGCCTTTATTATTTTCAGAGCATCTTCCAAAGCAGAAGACGTGTCCTGTTTAAGGATATACTTTACCAGCATCTGGAAAAAACAAGCATCGGGTTAATGTAGTGCCTTCTTCATTTCTTGGCTGGGGAATTTTGGGAGGTGAAGTCCACACATCTTCAAGTTGCCAAGGTTGAGAAACACTGGCTTGGACAAATGGGGCATTTCTGAACTTTTATCAAGGGGCACAGGAGTGGCTTACCAATATCATCTGCTTATCATTTAAAAGATTGGTGTCTCTTATTCCATAGCTCCGCAAAAGCTTCTTCATTTCCATCAGTCTGTAACCTTCTTCAAGGAGCTTCACCCTGCAAGAAAGCACAGCTCCTTTTACAGGATTGCTTTGGACCACAGAAATTATGACCTGGGTGTTAGTGAGGTTGGGCCATCCATCAGGCACAGCCCTTCTTGTCATGGGAGGGGGAAAACTCCCAATGGTTGACCAATGGGGCCATTGAGCTAATATTAACAAATGACACAACCAGCCAGTTGGCTATGAGATTCTGTAGACTATTAGAATGAAATGTCACTGGGACCCTGTCTGTTGTTTTAGCCTCCCTGGGTCTTCCAATTCCAAGCTAAGAAGGAAGTGAACATAGTTAACTCAGCATGTCAGCAGAAATCCCCTGAAATCACAGGTCGTTAATATTTGAGTAGGCAAGGCCACATGTTTAACAATCTTTTGTCCTGTGAGGGGGCTCAAAAGGAGGAGTACATCCTTTTGCAGAAAAGAATCATTTTTCTCATTAACTGGTGCATCATTAGAGTTTTGAAGCACCGATTTCATAGCGGGACTTGGAAGACAGTTCTCTTCCAACTTGGAAGAGAAAACCTCTCACGGCTGCAAGACGCCTTTTTTGATTTGTCTCAACCCCGCAAGGGAATTTGTCCATCCTTCTCTTACTTGGCATGACCCATGCCCAGGTACCGCTGCACTAGTTCTTCCACCCCTGGGCTCCAGGGAACCACAGCGCTATGCAAGATCACCAGCACCCCTTCGAAGGTCAGCTGGAAAGAAAAACCTGATCATTACACGGCTCAAGCATTTCCCATCCTGCAGTTCAAGTGGCAAGACGATCTTTGGGCACCCAGCCTGGCTCACCTCTAGGTTGGACATGCAGCCCAAGACTGCAATAGCTTTGGCTTCCCACGTTGTGTCAAAAATGGACGTAGACTGCGTGCAGTAGCGTTGCAGCAAGTCCTGTGTGGTGAAGGATTCAGAAGAGGGCTGGTTAGCTTTGGCGCGAAAACCCCCCAACAAAGTTGACTAGGATCAGGAGCTTGTCTCTACCTTTATGTACTGCAGGAGAATTTCATCTTTGTCCAGATTGTGGTGACGTATGTATGGTTCAATATACTTCTCTAAAGCTGCCGGAAGGAGTTCTGCCGCCAGAACTTTGTCAAACATACGGAACACAATTGTGTTTGCATCTGCCTAGCAGATGGGGGAAATAAACCAAGAATAATAATGTGCAGGAAGACGAGCAGCACCAAGTGGATTGGCACAAGCCCGATTCTGCTTCGGTATAATTTATGCCCTGCTTTTCTATCCCATTCTCATTTCAAGGATTTTGGGATGGGATAAATATTTATCTTGTTTTATCCTCAGAGCCACCCATGAGGTAGGCTGCTGGGTTGGGCACAGTGGCTTCCAGGGCCCACAGAGGTTAAAATCTTCAGTCTGAGCCCAACAACATGATCACACTTATTGCCCCAACTGCAGAATCTTTTTGCAGACACCCCCAGACCCTCTCCCTAAAAATGAAGGCTTGATGTGTTTTTTTTTCCTCCTACCTTTTCAAAGTCACAGAGAGCTAGCCTACAATTGTATTTCCTGTACAAATCGACCAAATTCTGTAATGCTCCAACCAGTTCCATAAGACGGCGGATCTCCTTGTCATCACTGTCCTTCTGAAAAACAAATTCACGAAAAGGATTCTTTGCTCGTTTGTCATTTGAATTGTTTAGATGTTGTCCTAACTGAGCAAGATTAAAACGTATTCAGTGGAGTAAACGATGAACAGGGAAGGGTTCCAGGCGTTCTGCCTCTCATCCCGATACGGTTTTATGATGCTTACCAAAAAATCCCAGTGGGAAAAAGATGTCAATCCAATTTCACCTACATCTTTGCTGGTAAAAAGCACCTGCGCCATTTCAAGTCCATTTTCTGGCCAGTTGGTCTGTTTTGAAAAATGAATCATAAGTCACCTTTCGGATGCAGAAGCAGGGCTGTACATACAGGCTTGGGGGAACTAAAATGTGCTTACCTTGTCAGTTAATTCAAGGCTTCGAGCACGTTCCTCCAACCACTTTGCTATTCTTTTCTGAAAAATAAGTACCAAGCTAGGCTGCGTATTTATCTTACATCCAAGGCCTCAGTTGACTCCATGCCTTGGCCCACTCAGTTACACTGAAATACATCAGATTTGGAAGAAAAAAATCCTATCCGCACACATCTTCACCTCGCTGCTTAACAGGTAGCAGGGAGGACAGAAAATCTACCATGTCTTTGGCAAACGTGCCCACATTCCATTTAAAAAGTAAATCTCAGAATGACTGGGACTAACTTTTTGTATCCTACTGTTCCAGAACTGTGAAGTATGTATTAAAAAAAAAGTAAACCACTTCCAAAAAACCTTGCCAAGAAAACTGCAGGGACTTGTCCAAGCAGTCGCCGGGAGTCAACATTGACTTGAAGGCTCCAGAACAAAACCAAAACAAAACAAACCCACCTCAGTTACAAACAAATGAAGACAATGCAAAAGAGGAGTAAGGTCCAAATTGACTAAATCAAGTAACTAAACAAGTAAATGGGTACCAGCTTTACTTCAGTGCTAGCAAGCATTGCTTGGATCGGTACGTTGTAACTCCTCTCATCCCAACTATTGTAAAGCACTCTCTTCTTCTGCCATTTTTGAACAACCTGGGCACAGTTCCCTCTGTTCAGCCTCACCGGGTTTTCCTGGGTGTCCTGCTGGATCTTACCTGTCCTTGAGGTAGAACTCGCCTTACGAAAGGAATGACAACTTCCTTAAGCCACAAACACAGTTCTTTCAGAGAAAGAGCCCCGGAGAGTGAGTCAATCAGGTCACCCAGCATTTCCACACTAAAGCTTCTTTCTAATTCTGCCTGGAGGGAAAAGAGAGATCTTCTCACAGCCAAGAGACTGAGAATTGGGGTGGTCACGAATGGCTTAAACGTGGGCAGGAAAAGCTGTGCTCAATGAGGCTGGGGGCCGCAGACTTAGTGTCCTGTTCTCACAAAAAGCCTACTGGGGGAAGAGATGGGTGCCGAAATAGCCTTCTATAACGTTTTGAGACCGACCAACCTCCAATATGGAAGACACTCTGGATGATTTAATAGCCATTAACTTCAGCACGGAGCAAATCCACTTGAAAGCTATTTACCTGATGCCTTAACCAGAGATACTGGGCAGAAGAGAGGTTTCCTCCTCTGAGTTGTAAAAGGATGTGGCCGAAGACGTTCTTAGTGTTGAGAAATTCAGACCAAGTCCTTCCGCTAGGGGAGCAAAAGTGCCGTGGTCAACATTCTGTTGTACTGAGATGCACAAACCCAAACACTGAGAGCCATTATTTACACCCAGACACACACAAGTACCCCACCGGCCGACCTGTATTTCTCTGGCCCGAAAGCCCCCAGAAAAGTAGTCAGTTTTGCTTGTGTTTGCAGCACCTAGGGAAAAGCAGAAAGACGGGTTTGAGGTCAGAAAAGTCCTTCAGCATTAAAGATGTTGAAAGCAAACAATATGAGAAAGTTCAGCAGCAGCTCCTGAGATGCAAAATGACGTCTGAATAGATCTTGAGAACTGGCATATGGTATATTGTATCTCATCTTGGTACAATCACAAGGAAACCACGCTTTTATGATACTGCTCCGAGATGAACTTTCTAACACATCCAGACCGAAAGCTCAATCATAATTATTTGTGCAAGTTGGGTTCTTTTCACCTCTGTAAGGAGTGAGGCAGGATCCACATTCAAGAGGTGGTTAATGGCTGCATCTTCTTTCTTTAGCATCTGAAACAGATATTGAAAATACTTCGTTAATTTGTTATTCAATGCCTGGAACACGCCCCAAATCAAAGACACTGAAAATTGAGGTCCTTGGTTCCGTGAAAGCACCAACCGAAACCTACCCTCATCCGAGCATAATTCAGCATTTCCTGAGCTGTTTCATAGGTTGGCCAAGGAGTATTTATGCAGTACTCAACCACAAACTGGTTATCCTATTGAGAAGGGAATTAAGGACAATTTTTCAAAGGGCAGTACTATAAGTCAGTCTCCAACTTCCAAACAGCATTGGAGGTGGGTAAATATTTATATTTGCTACAGACATAGGAAATGGTTACCTTTATTTTATTCAAGGTTTCCTTAGCTTGAGGCACAAGTTCTAGCCAGGCTGATGGATCCTCACTTCCAGCAGAAGCCAATCTTTCCAAAATAGTGTTTGCTGTCACTTTGTAGACAAGCTATATTTGTTAAAAGAACCGTGCAGGACGTTAAAAAGTACTTGATTTGTCCTTTCAAGCTATTCCTTTCCCGCAGCGTTCAGGAAGGACCTCAGACCTAGCCTAATTTCCCCAAAGGGAATACTGATTTGTTTTCTACACCATCTATGGGCAGACACCCCTTTTCTGCCGCAATGACATCACTGTTGATGCAAATTACATTAAGTTGCACAATTTGCACAATCATATCGTAATATGCGTGACATCGCTTGCCCCTCTCCCCCACCACAGCAGTAAGGGACAGGGAGTTATAAGCAGCCTTTTACCTCAACGTCCAGGCCAAACTGAAGAGCAAAACTCTCAGCCTCGTTAAACCTGTGCTTGTGTAGTAAGCGGCTTAATCTAAGGAGAAAGCAGGACCCCCGATTACCACTCCCTTTACATCAGCCAGGCAAGGTCTCTGCAGCTTATCTCTGCAGTCATTCTGCTGTGCAGTTGCAAGGCCAAAATGGGGTAAAGGTCTGGCTGGGGTAAAGTTCTGTTTTTCAGCATCACAGTCTCAAACCCGGAGGCTTAATGACCATCCTGCAAGTTGGACTGGCATACTTGGTTTTCTGCCAAACAAAATCGCCTAGGACCTTTAATCTTACTGGCTTCCAGGGTTAGAATGCAGCATGGACAAGAAATCTCCCCAAGGGGAATCAACGGGACTTAAAAGTGGCTTGCTTTCTCTTAATGAGGTGCAAGGCTCAATCTGACAACGGAGCAGAACCAACAGCCAAAATATACACTCACCTGTTCTCGGGTAAGGCTTCCGTTAAGCTTCTCATGAGCAGGAATGAGACCGGATCAGCCGAAGATCTAGAAAGGAACACTTGGCTAAAAATAGAGCTGTACCAACAATGGGAAACCCGGTGTCAACCCATCTTTGTTTAATTCAAGGGCAAACTTACTTTTGGTTGTTCTCGTACATTCCCTCCATAAAGTAGATTGTATCCTGTGGGATAAACAAGACTTAGAAGGCACGTGGTTCCTTCTGAGTCACTTTAATTAGATAATAACCGGCTCGGTGGTCATATCTGGTTTTATTGTTTGACTTGGTGTCGCCATCTTTCCCTTGTGGTTTATTCCAAAATCATCTGCAGACAAACCGTAGTGCAGCATGATACGTGGATTCAAAAGCCCACAGCGGGAATTACTTCCAGACAGGCCGATTTGAAAGCAAATCAATTTGGCTTGGTAAAAACGTGATTTTCTTTCAAATCTGATGCATGTTCCCCATAGAACTGGTTTCCTGTTCGCATTTCCTCACCCGCCAGTTACTTAGCAACCGTAGTGCAGCATGATACGTGGATTCAAAAGCCCACAGCAGGAATTACTTCCAGACAGGCCGATTTGAAAGCAAATCAATTTGGCTTGGTAAAAACGTGATTTTCTTTCAAATCCGATGCATGTTCCCCATAGAACTGGTTTCCTGTTCGCATTTCCTCACCCGCCAGTTACTTAGCATTAAAGACCAGAGAGACACCTACCGTATTTATTACACTCTGAACCAGCGTGGAAGCAGGAGTGACTTCCAAAGCGTAGAGCTGCTGCATAGCGGGCAGCGAAAAGACCACAATGCTCTTCATCTAACAAGAAAGGAAGATCGTAAGAAAAAGGTCCTTGCCGAAATAAGTCTTGTTATTAGGTGGAAACACAGTTTTGTTGTCAAAAGTCAATCAGGTTACACTGAGGACATTTTTGGAAAAGGCTAGGGATGAATTGAGCATGAAACTGAGCAAACTCAGGGAGGCAGTGAAGGACAGGAAGGCCTGGCGCAATATGGTTCATGGGGTCACGAAGAGTCGGACACGACTTAACGACTAAACAACAACAAGGGATGAATACCTCTTCGACATAGTCCGGTGTTGTCAGAGCCACCAGCTTAAGATTGGCGGTCCCCAGCCTTGAGAGAGAGAAGAGAGAGAGGGAGGAAAGCAGCTGATGACCATTAAAGGTTGCAAGTTCTTCCCATTTGAAACGATTTCCTCCTTAGCGAGAAGCTGATCGTTGCAATGAGCTAGACCTCCACCCAGGGAACGGTGTCATTTTTCACAGGCCTCTAGTCCAGTGTTTCTCAACCTCAGGAACTTGAAGATGCGTGGACTTCAACTCCCAGAATTCCCCAGCCAGGATGGGAATTCTGGGAGTTTAAGGCCACGCATCTTCCAGTTTCTGTGGTTGAAAACGCTCTTTTAGACAGAAGGTCCGCAAGGTCTTTCTGCGTGCAATGTTTAAAGTAACTCTTTATGGGATACGGGGTGCTTTTTTATTCCCAATGAAATTTACGGCCTGTAGGAGAAAGCGAGGAAGGAGGTCTGAAGAGCGACCGCTTTGCCCTCCGCTTCTCATGAGATGTGCCCTATGGGGAGAGTTTACCCTGCTCCTGTTGAAAAATCTGATTCTGAGGTCAGAAGAAATTCCTCAGTGTGGATGGAAGGGCAGTCCCAAGTCAGAGCGAGCGAGTGGACGTCCCACAAGGACAGCACATCCTACAAGAAAGAGAAAAAAACATTCTGACATTTTTCACGGTATACTAAAGACTGCTCACCATGAATAGATAGGTTTGGACTGCTTAAATGTTTCCTATGATGAAACCAGCGGTGCTACAAGCCAAATGCAAAAGTCATCCACAGAATAAAAATACAAAATTTTAACCATTGCCCTTCCAGCAAGAAATTCAATGGCTCTAACTTCATTCTCGTGATCTGTAAAAAGATCGTGAAGATTAAAATCCTTCCTGCTAAATACTCCATTAGCACCTTTACAAGGTTAAAAGATTAATCTTTTTAAATGAAAATTGGTCCCTTTAAAAACAGGAGGTAAATAAGAGAGCACCAATGACTTTAAAACAAATAAATAAATAGATGTTAAAATAAAGGCCACATTCGATTGATGGCATCTTCGCTTGATGCTCTATTTGCACGGACAGCCTTTTCCTTCCATCCTTTGCAACATGAGCAAACAGAAGTAGCATCTTGGCCAAACAGTGGTTTATAAGCATTTCCACAAAGAAGCAGAAAAGAGAAAGAAGCAGAGTTGCTGTGCAATGAGATGGGCAGTGACAAATTTAAAGTATAACTTAACATAACATAATATAACATAACATAAATAAATCTTAAATTAGCCAGGGTCCTGTTCCATCTAAATTAGTAATCTATGATTATCCGTTTCAGCATAAGCATTAAACAATGCATTCTGATTAGTTTAAAATCCCTGGCTTGCTCCAGAGCTTTTAACCAGAGTCTACTTGTTTAGATGCAGTGAGAAACTATGGTTAAAGGCATCCTGGGTAAATGTGGCTTGTATCAAGGAGCACGATGCAAATATAAAAGTTTTTTTCATATCTCAGTGGTTATTAAGTCTGCTTGCTGAAGTTCAGGGCTTCTCCATAAAGGTCTTTCTAAAATAAATGCAAACGTACGTGCCTCATTATCTAAGACAAACAGCAGGTTCTCCAGAACTTGAAGCTTCTTTGCAGCTGGAGAACAGAACAAACAGATTAAAAAGAAAAGATAAATTTCCTATTTAGAAAGTCAGGTATTTGAAATGCGACTTGTAAAGACTCTAAAGACAGTATTACAAATAACCATCATGCTGATAGGGAAGAGCTTAAAAATGATGAGCAAATCTACTAAAAGTTAAAGAAACAGATTTGGGGGCTGGGGAGGGGGAAGGAAACATGCCTTGCCAGTCTGCTAGCAGTGAAGGAATGTAAATTGTACCTTCCTTATCCATTCTCTAAAATTCCCAGACTTAAGCAGGGTCCCTTCCATGATAATTGAATTTTTTAAAAAAGCCAGAAAAATAAACAAAAACAAAGCATATTATCATATGTATATTAATTAACACAAGCAAATAAGGCATTTTTAGATCATTTTTGTCCTTTAAACAAGTCCCAAAGACTCTGAAATATCTAAACCCTCCTGTAAAGATCCATGTGCCTGCAAATGTCAGACGCTCATACCTTTAATCATGCTTGAATCAGCAACATTTTGAATAGAAACTAGCTTTTTATTAGGATTCACTTCCCATACAGATATCGCACAGTCACCGACGCCCTATAAGAAAGCAAATATTGATATCAGAAACCCAGATTTGCTTCGAGGCAGGAGTTTGCAAATCAACTCAATTCCTGTTTATTCTCAGGCTGCCTCCTTAGGCCACAGATGTTCAAGATGGGGAGATCCTACTCAAATTAAAAGGGCTAACTTTTCCTACTCTGAATTCAGGGCTAAATGCATTGTAAAACTATATCCCCCTCATGGATATCGTGTTTAAGACTGTAATTTTGCTTATTTTCTTTAAAAAAAGACACTTGGCTGGGCAGTGAGGGGAGAGGCGCTTTGAAGAGGCAGAGAAAAAAAGACTTGGATTGAGCAACGTTTTCAAAAGAGAGAAGATGAGTTTCTAGAAGGGGCCATGTGATAATTGCCGTGCTTTTGAAAGAAAGCCCGTTGCCCCCAATAAACCCACAGGAAATTTTACCTTAAGAAGCATTCAAATAATGTTTGTGTTACCCCTATTATCAGAGCAAAGCTGTTGGCGGTGTCCTTCGTCACAGAAGTAAGGCAGCCAGCAGTGTGATAATCTTCCACTGAAATAAAGCATGTTTCCACCTGACCTTGTAGCTGTAAGGCAAGACAGCCATTCAGATTGTCTAGAAATAGTCATTCAGACTTTAGGAGAGGGGGTCAAATCTGGGATAATTAAAATGACTGAAGCATAGAAACGTTGCTGTTCCTCAATTCATCTATTAAACTTAGAGGCATATAATTTAATTTTGAAGCAGGAGGCATGTTTGTGTTGGGTCTAAACAATGTGTGCTGGGCCTTCAGAAGGTACCGCCTGAAAATAGAGAACGCCTCTTAAGTTGGCACGCGACCTCTGGTACTTTTATGCGCCCTTATCTTGGCAGCGCCTGGCAAATCTTGTCAATACAAACCGTTTTTGTATTGTTGCCCAAAAAACAGCCAGGAGTAGACCTCAACTTGAAGGAGATGTTACCTCGTATTTTCAAATATGATACATCTGGCTGTCTTCCATGTGGGGCATACGACAAAAGTTCATAAAAAGTTTCCCTTACTGGAATTAGCTCTGGATCTGAATCTCATTCAGGTTTTTTTTAAGCAAAGCACATGGTAATAACATCGATCAATAGTCTCAGATACCTTCTTTGCAGTACTGATGTCCATTTCGATAATTGCTGCATAAAGAAAAGCATGCGTATTTTATCAGAAATGCTTTAGAATAACAAGCTTTTGGGGGGGGGAGGGTAAAGTCTAGTCATCATGCATTTGTTCAATATTTTCTTATTTTTCCGAGTTGGGCCCATGGCTGTCATATTTCACAAAACACCCAGAAAAACACAGGCTGAATCACACAACAGCTGCGAGAGAGCGGGTCTCGCTTAGCAGGATATGCAAATGCAGCTCAACCTACAATATGCAGAACTCCTGCAATACTCAGATATTGGCGCACTTAGAACTTTATAGAAAATACGAAAGGAAAGCTTCATCTCTTAACGTCCAGCGTGGCTGGAATCTACACAGGGTTGGCTTACCTTTCTGAATGTCGGCAAGCGGAAGATGCATGATACAGAAAAAGCCCTTGCTGGTCAAAATGAATGCATGATAGATACCTACAAGATAACCAGAGAAAATGTCAAGCAGCGTTCCCAACCCAGATCTTCCAGCTATGTACCTCTGAATCAAGGAAGACCCACTCTCTAACTGTGAACAAGGAATGAAAACAACTCTACTCTGGCTTCCTTTTAGCACTGAACAAGGGCAGAAGAGTTACACTGAGTATGTAAGCAGAAACCCAATTTTAAGGTTCACAGAATGGGCAACAAAATGCTTACGGGTTTCTTCATGGGCTGAATCCTGAGATGTGAGCACCCTGACTTACAAAGGATATTTTCAAAGTACCAATCTTACCTTCAAGAGAACTGTCCCTTTCCAGAATAAGATCCAAGAAGGCCTTTTCATCTGAAGAGCCTTGAACTAACCCCTAGATGTGGATCCACACAAAAAGCATCATTGTAATTACAGGTGGCTGTTGGGAGAGGGTTTAAATAGCGATTTTAGATGTCTTCGTATACTGATGAAGACCGAATGTTCCAAGAGTATCTGGTGCACTTTGTATGAAAAACTGAACAAAAGCTTCAGAGAATGCACCAGCTTGAGGGTTCCTGTTTTCTACTTCATCAGCACAGGAGCGTGAAGAAAAGTGGAAGTAAATTTAATTCCATTTTCAAGCTAGTTGTTATGGCTGTGGTTAAAGTTAACTGTGTTTCAGAGAAAGAAGTCTGCTGCAAAAAAATCAGTGAACAACCATGGCTTGGGTTGCTTCCGTACGAAAAACCCCAAACTTTCAGTCTCTTTACAAATGTGCTGAAAGAGAAAGAGGACTAGGGCATGTGTGAGCTCAGAACGTCCCCACGTTGTGCTAAAACTGTAGCTTGGCATTATGTACCTTCATTTCTCAAATGGAAGAAGCTACCTTTTTACAGGAACAGGTAAGAAATAAGCTACGTGCCTTAGTTAACAGGGTCTGCTTCGAAGATACTTGAATCAGGTGCAAGTTCCCACTTCTCTCGCCTGCGACAAGGAACTGCCCTTCTTGACACAAGCCAACAATGTCCACCTCCGTTTCTGAAAGGTTAAAAAAAACAGCCACAGTTTATTCTGAGCAATGATTAGAACCCCAAAGAAAAGAAAACAACGTAGTACAGTACGTTTAAAGACAATCACAGAATGACTAAACCGTACCCTAGGAAATAGCATGACCCATAAATATAGCATTTCGTTGTTGTTCAACTTAGGGTCTTTTTAAGTAGCGATCCCACATCATGATTTGCTTGCCATGGTTCACTGAATAAGCCAATGGCTGAATTTACTCATCCGTAAACCAGTTTGCAAACACCAGGGGTGTCCGCAGGGCACGATTAAAAAAAGTCAGAAGGCAGATGTGACGGTGTAATTGAAGCCTGGCTGCCATCTTGACTTTTTTGACCATACCCTGCAGGTACCCCTGCCATGGTGACAAGGTTAACACAACACAGTGCTAAGTTGAAAAAACCACATGATTTAGAGGCAGGGTTCAAACAACACACTCAGTTTTGGTTAACAAGACACAGTGGCTGTGTTGAACCGTAAGTCTCCCGACCCCATTTTTCCCTGGTCTAGCACGTTGTACCAACCCTACAAGAGGGTTCATGAGGATTCCAGGCTGCTCTGTTCCCAAGTAAACAGGACAGAAAAAGAATTTCTAGCAGGAATTCAACACCGTATGCATAGAATAATAAACCACAGCATGATTTCCAGAAAGAGTGTGATGCTGAAAGGTTTGAATTCATGCTTTATGAAGTTATCCCAAAGACCTCTTAGTTTATGACTGTTCAGAGCTGGAAATCAAGCTGTGGACATTTGTGTCTCTCTAGAAGTTGAGCTCCAAACTCAAGTAGCCACACAGCCTTGGGGGAAGAATAACAAGAGCTGTAGCCCACCCCCATCCAGAGATCCATAGTTCCTGGCCCCAGCTGGAAACTCACCAAAATGAATAAACATTTGAAGAGACTGACAAATATTGTCAAGTACCACCACCGTTCTGTCAGCCACCAGCACACAGCCATCATTCAAACTATACGCATTTAACGCCGGGTTAGATAAAACCTGATCAATAAAAAAAAATCCATCATAATAACCCACGCAGACAGACAGATTAAAAAAGCACATAAGGAACTAATGAGATTTGCATTCTTGGCATGTGTGTATCTACAGGTTAAAACAAAAGAACTAGTGCAGCTATCAACAACTAACGTGCGCTCCAGCTAGACATCAATTTTCTACTACGATAGAGCTGCAGGTCTAGGTGTTTCCTCTTTATAGTAGCCAACCTGGCAGATCTAGTTACTGGGGCTGAGCAGTGCTTTGGATTCAAAGGAAAAGGGACCTCACAGCACCCCTCTCACGCTTGCTGCACAAATGTATGTTTTCCTGGGGCAGAGAGCGGCCACGCCCCCCCAGGGAAAAGGCCCCATGATTGGAGCCTTGTGGCTTGCCACTGCACCCAGAGCCATTGCGATGGGCCGCTAAGGTGATCCTACCTTCTGCGAGGAGGTTATTTTCACCAGTGTGCTCATCTGATACAGCGCGCTCCCACATTCTTGCCTGGAATGTATGCTCAGCTGCCCGCTTCCTGTATCGTCACTTGTCAGAAGCTCCACGTCGTCCCACATCTTCGGAGGAAAACTTTCCGTCTGGCGAAAGTCAGAAGGCAAACGACAAAGCAACAGCGTGCATTCAGGTAAAAGAATCCCTCAGAGCCTTTAAACAGCGATCTCAGTTCGCACATTTATCAGGGGAACCTTTTCTCAGTGCAAGAAAGTTAGGATTTGCTTTTACAAGCAGCGTGCCCGGATGTCTAATTCTCGCCATGGTTCAGGAAGCCTGCGTGTACGGTGCTTTTAAAGCCCACTAACAGCAAAATCAGTATTTATGGGGGCACAGCCCTTTTTTCCTGGCACCCAAGAGCTCAATTTCTCTAAAAATAATACAGCCCTTCTTTAGCTCCTATGCAACTAGTCTATTTCACAGACACCACAGCATCAGCGATACCTCCCCATCCACCGTATAACAGATGCATTTCATCTTTAACCTGCACATAAACACAGGTACAAACGCTCAGTGGCCGCTGGTAATAATGTCATTTTTCTGCATTGCACCTCTCTTACCTAATCATGGTTTTTTGTAAGCTAAGCTTTTTAAGCTTTTTAATTTAATTTTTTTTTACATCAAACCAAAAGAGAATCTGTGAAGCAAAACATCCCGCCGTGCTATATCGGGGGGGGGGAGATGATTTTGTGCAGTCTCCCCCAAATACCTCCCCAGTGGGCTGATCGTTTACTTTTTGGCAAGTAAAACAGTCGCCAGGCAGGCAGGCATCCAACTGGTCTCTTCCCCAGGCAGGGCAAAGCTTCACCTGATGAACTCCCACCTGTCAGCCAGCTCTTAAAGGCGTTTGGCAAGACTAGCCCACCGGCAGGTCACATCCATCAATTTACGCCACTCCCCGGCCCGGAAGGAGGCAAGAAAGCTGCAGCAGCGACCGACCCGCCGATGTTCAAACGGACCTTTTGATTTGGCGGGAGTTTTCCCTGCTCTCCGCGGGGCGGGGCATAGCCGGCTACGGCGGTCCGCGCGGGCCAAACTCCTCAGTGAGAACGGCGGCCCGCCACCAGGCCGGGAGATAGGAAAAGTATAGAGGTGCGCTCGCCGCCGCGATTCCCGTGCCTGTATGAAAGGGAGACTTGAGCGATCCTGCCAGGCTCTCGACTAGTCATTCAGCTCCCATTCCATCCAAGGACAAAACTGAGGAGGATTGGGCGCGACCGGGGATATGGGAAAATTAGTCCAGCACGTCAGAGAGGTTTTCGTCCGTTTATTAAAGCCACTAAGAAAAAAAGAAATGGGAAGAGAGAAATCAAACCATATTTCTGTTTATTTGTTACAGTTTCTTATTTGGAGCACGCCCCCTGTTCTTTGTGCAGGTGTATGACGCCCGCCGGAGAACCAGAGAAACAGCTAAAGCGAGGAACTCCAAGAGCTGCCCATTTTAAAATTGGTATCTCTATGCTTCTCACTGGCGCCTCCCTCCCCAGCCGCGGCCGC